TTTTCATGAATTTATTAGCTATTTTTGCCTTCTTTAAAGAACTGTTTATTTTACATTTATTGATTGAGCAATTTATTCTTTGGTTGGTAAATAGTTTTTAGTTATTTATATTTTCTGAGACATTAATCATCTGTCAGGTGAGCATCTGGCAAAATGATACACCCACCCTGATAGATGTATCTTCATTCTGGTCTTTGTTTCTTTTGCTGTCAGGAAACATTTTAATTTTAATCAATCCCATTTGTCAATTTTTTGCTCTTATTGTCTGAATTATTGCAGTCCTGTTCAGAAAGTCATTTAAGTGTTTTTTTTTGTTTTCTCTCATTGATTTTTGTATTTTATTACTATTTTGTTTTTTTTTTTGTTTTTTTTACATACAAGGTAATATTTCTTTATTGATTATAACATGTGTTTGAGGGACACACTGCATTCACCAAGAAGGAATATTCTCTGTTTTTTGCCCTGACTCACAATTCAGACACCTAAAGAGATTAGAAAGATACTTTTCCATCCACACAAGGCACTGTCTCCAGAAAGTATACAATGTGAGGGCAAAAAGACAAGGAATTCAGATTTCTCTAAATAACAAGTTTTTAGTCTAGTGCATACCACTTACCACTTGCCTGCCAATAAGCTATAAGATTCCTTCGTGATTTGAAAAGTTATATAACAGAATAATAGGGAGTGTTTCATGAATGATATCAGTTGAAAAGAAAACAGAGATAATCCCTTCTTGTTTTCTTTCGTTAATCCATATTGTGTACTTTTTTTTTTTGCTGTGTGGGTGATATTTGTCTTTGGTTCTTGATCCTCTTAAAAATTGAATTTGGTGGAGGGTAAGATACAGGAATTTAGTTTGGTCTATATGGGGGTATACAGTTTTATAGACATCTTGTGTTAAGTTGTTCTTTTAGGACTTTGTTGAGAATAAGATGTTACTATAAGGGTTTATTTCTAACCCTTTTTTCTATGTTTGTTTTAATACCAAGACTAAGCTCTTGTTTTTATGCATTTGTAACCCAGCTGGGACATGTTATACCTCAACACCATTCATGTTTCAGAGTCGCTTTGGCTATTTTGGGTCTTTTTGTCTCTGATGAATTTATTATTATTTCGTGTTTTATCAGGAATGTAATTGAAATTTCCATGGGGATTACATTGATTTTGTTGGTGACTTTAAATAATATGGCCGTCTTTGGAATAGAATCTCTGCAGAGGCATGAACACTGGGAACTGTCTATGTTCTAATGCCTTTTGCAGTTTTTCAGTTTTCATTGTAGACATCTTTGCTTGCTTTATTGGGTTTGTCTTGGGTTGCTTTTCAAGCTACTGTGAATGGATTTTCCATCTTATTTTTTTTCTCTCTGTGTTGCTGCTACTGGTGTATAGAAAAACCATTGACTTTTCTATGTTGACTTTGTGTACTGCTATTTGTTAATGTGTTTATTTTTATTTTTTTTGGCTTTACATTTTTATTTAGTGTGTGCGTGCATTGCGAGGTTCACTTACAGAGATTCGAGGACTATTGCAGGTATCGGTTATTTTTTATTATATCTAACAGTTTTCTGATAATCTTTTGGCTGTTTTAAGTATAGAAGTATACTTAATTGTTAAGTATAGAATTACACTTATGTTTTAAGTATAGAATTAGTAAATATGAATAATTTGGGTCCTTCTTGTGTTTCTTTCATTTATTTTTTGTTTCCTTGACTAAAACGTCAAGTAAAGCGTTGAATGGAATTGTAGGGATTGGCTTCTCCACCATAACTCAGTTTTTCATCTTTGTCTGCCTTCAGATTTCCTATCATTGTTTGCCAGCTATAGGTTTGTGCTATATTAAGATGTGTTTCTTCTAGTTTATAGGTTTGTGGTATATTGAAGTGCATTCATTCCAGTCCTTTCATTAGAGCTTTGTTCTCAAGGGGGTAATGAATTTGTTAAAAGCTTTCCTTACCTGTTAAAATGTGCATTTAGCCTTTATCTATAGTTCAATTTGTGTGTTATATATGTGTACATGCACACATACATATATGTATATATATATATATCATAATTTGAACTATTCTTGAACCCCCACCCCAGATTGAAACTAAGCCTGTTATCATATGTTATCATAGTCTTTCATCTTTTTACTCTGCTGTTAGGTTCAGTTTATTATTATTTTGAGGAATTTTACATTTATATTCACAAGAAATGGTAAGTTGGAATTTGTGATTCTGTTGTCCTTATCCAATTTTAGTATTAGGGTAATACTGTCTTTGTGGAGTGAGCTTGCAATTGACCTGTTTCTTGAAATTTTAAGGACTAGTTTGGGGGGTATTTATGTTTTTGCCTCTGTAACACTTTAGTAGAATCCAGCAATGAATTTCTTGCATTCAGGGTTTTTATTTGTTGGGATCCCATTTTAATACTGCTTTAATCCCATTACTCATCATTGCTATATGTAAGTTATTTGCATCTATTTTTTTCTGTTTGATTATTTTAGGTCACATGTATATGTATAATTTTTTGTATTTCTTCTGTATTTTCTTGTCTATTGAAATATAAACTTTCAAATTATCCTAACCCATGGATATCAGAGACATTTTCTGAATATTCCACTCTTATATGTCATTTCATTATTTTGGATCTTCTCTTTATTTTCTCTGCTTTGGATGATGATTAATCAGGCTTTGATTTTGTATCTTCAGAGAAGTAACTCTTGGTTTCCTTGTCTTTTGTCTCCATTTAATTAGTTTCTACCCCAATACTTACTTATTTCTGTCTACTGATTTTTTACTTGGCTGATTCTTTTCTTTCTGAGATCTAAAAGCACATCATTTTGTTATCTGCATGAACACCCTCTTTTGTTTAACTTTAGGCACTCAAAACTATTAGAATTGTCTTCTCTGTACCCAAAGATTGTAGTAAGTTGGTATTCACTTTCATTTTTAACCTAGGAATTTTGTAACTTGACCCATGATTTATTTTACTATTAGAGTTTAAATGCATTTTGTCAACTTTCCATATATTTGTATATCTTTTAAGTGTTGATTTCTAGTTTTATTCCATTATTATCTAATAAAATATAAGAGGTTATTTCCATTTTTTATTTGTAGAACTTCCCTTATGACATATAACATGACACATTTTGGAATAAATTACATGGGGTGCTGAGAATCCTCAGCTGTAATTGAAATATTGTGTGATGCCTGCTAGTCTATTTGATCTCCTTTTTGACTGGATGACAACTCCATTGATAAAAATGGGACATTCAAATCTCCCATTATTAATGTATCTGGATCTACTCTATGTGTCCAGCAGTGTTTATGTTATACAACTGAGTATACTAACACTAACGTTTAGTGCTGCACTAGTTATTTTTACATTGCTTGGGTTAAAATACCTTGAAAAAAAACAAGTTAGGGAAGAAAAGGGCTTATTTTGGATTTCAGATTTAGAGGGATAGATTCCTTAATGGTGAGGAAGACATGGTAGCAGAAGCTAGAAACAGGGTGATCACATTTCATTTTCTTCATATAGGATATAGCAGAGAGAGACAGAGAGAGAGAGAGAGAGAGAGAGAGAGAGAGAGAGAGAGAGAGAGAGAGAGAGAGAGAGAGAGAGAGAGAGAGAGAGATAACAGGAAGCAAGGCAAGGCTATACACCCTCAAATCATGTCTCCAGTGCCATACTTGGTCCTTCAGTGTTTCACCTCTTAAAGGTTCCATGACCTCCCCAAACAGTGCCACCAACTGAGAATCAAGGAATGAAACCCATGGAACATTCAAACCACATAAGGCACATTTATGTTTATAATTTTATTTTATTTCTTCTTGGTAGATTGTTCCCTTTATTAACATGCAGTGACCCTTTATATATCTTTTGTCTGATTTGCCAGCTATGAATGCATATGCTCATGCTTGCCTTTAATTTTCATTTGCCTGGAATATCATGTTTATTCTTTCAACTTTAACTTGTATATCTCTTTGCCATTAACTTCTTATATTTAGCAGAGCTGGGTCTCATTTTTCAAGCCACATAGCCAGTCTGCATCTTTAACTGGAGAGTTAAAAATCATTGCATCTAGTGATACTATTAAAGGATGTACTATTTTCCCCATATGCATTTCGGTGGTCTGCTGGTTTGACTATTCAGTGTCTACTTCTTTCCTAGTTCTTATTTGTCTCTAGTCTCCTAGTGAGATCTGTTCTTTCATGTGGTCTTGTTATTGTGCATATCCTTCTTTTTCCTTTGTATGCATTATTCCTTTGGGTATCTTTTGAAATGATGTCTTCTTGGTCATGGATTGCTTTAGCTGATGTTTATTGTGTTAGGCCTTCATGTCTTCTTTTATTTTAAAGGATAACTTTGATGGTGTAGCTATCTTGGTTGAATAGTTATTCTACTCACAGCTTGAAAATCATTGTCCATGCTGTCTATTTTTATGTTTTCTACTGAGAACTCAAATGCTAGTTCTTTCATACTTCTCTTTTCTAGACTCCAATATTCTGTTTTTATCCTCTAATTTTACATGTTAACTATAAAATCATGTTAAGAGATTATTTTTTGTCGTACTTATATTAGGTCCTATCTTTTCCTTTTCTTATTTTTTTGGATTCAGGATCTTTATATCTCAGCATGGCTTCAATTTCATTAAGTAACTTATGAGGTTCTTGAATCTTGATTCCCCCACCACCACCTCCCAAGCACTGGTGTTTTAGGTACATGCCACCATTTCTAGCTAGTACTTCCCAGATATGAAGGCTCATGTGTTTGGAGGTTTTTATGCACAATTTAACCAAATAGTTCTTTGCATACTTTTAGTTTGTATGTTGGCTCCTTCTTATACACCAGAAACCATAAATTTCATCTCAGAATCATGTCTCTGAGACCTTGGAACTTTTATTTTAATGTTAGCCTCTTCACTATCTCTTCTGAATGTAATAATTCCTAAATTATATCTTCAATTCATGATATTCTTTCTTTCAGCAAGTCTAATTAATTGGTGACACTTTGCATTGACTTTATTATTTGGTTTATTGAACTTTTCATTCCCAACACTCTTCCCCTCTTTTTAAAAAAAAGGTTACTATATCTTTGCTGAAAGTTTCATCTAAGTTATTGAATATCTTGTCCAGATATTAAGTTGATTCCTTTTACCAAACCTCAGATTTCTCATTGCTACAATATGCACCATTTAAGAGACACACTGCATTAGGAAGCTTGTGATGTGCCGAGCTCAGTGACAATGGTCCTAATCTCCGAGCCAAGGAGTAATCTCCTTTCCTGAGGACGACCACAGATGGGGAGAATTCTAAAGTTGTTCACTGCTGCACAACTGCTTAATTTGGACTCTACTTTCTAACACGGTGGTTCATTGCTGGACAGGATGAGAACTTTGAAACCAAGTATGGCTGGACACGGCAGTTTCCTTCTCCTCACCGGCCATTTCCCTAGTGGACAGGATATCTGGCAAGCAAGAATTCTAGGATTCCTAGGTTCTCAGACTCCGGCAAATGACTCAGTACCCCAGATCTAAAACAAAAGATGTACATGTCAAATCAGGCACAGTGAGCTACACCAGCTTGCTTTTTATGAAAACAACCCAGAAATGTTGTTATATAGCATTATATAATCTTTTCAGAAGATAAAATATTATTTATCTCATTCGACAATTAGGAAAAAGTTCTAATTCCTCTTTTGTTGAAGAAGTAAAATTTGAACACTGAACAAAATAACAATTATACATTTTTGCAATTATTTTCTTCTATTAAAACTATATGAATTAAGTATTTATCAAAATGAAATATAATTAAGTTATGCTAATGAATAATGAGTGAACCTCAGAAATATCAGTAATTCAAAACATGCAAGAAGTGAAATTAGTACTTAAGAAAATTAGTTTTAGTTAGGTTAAAGAGTATAACCCATAAAGAAATGACAAACCTCCCCTTCAAGGTAATTATATAAAAAAGAGTCACTTAAAAACAAATATACAGAAGATCCAACAATATAGTAAGTACACGAATTCCTTAAATATTAATTTTGATGAGTTTTCAGTTCAAAATGATGATATTATTTTTAATGTATCCTAAGAATCTTATTCCATATATTCTCTATGTATTTATTGAAACCTCCTTGCCAGAAGCTCCCAGGAAATATAATAGCATAAGGAGTGTATCTTTGAAACTTGGTCATTAAATTTTGTCATCATATAAGATGTAGTTCTACTAGTATGATGTACATTAAATTGGCACAAGTCCATGACAGCTACATCACTGTCTTCTTGGAGTTCAAATGTAACTGATCTTGAATAAAGAAAGATAACCATCTATCAGGATTAGCTTAGATTGATGGGGCATTTCAATTTATCTGTCTTTTCCCTAGTTATCTTCAGGATTAGATCTCAGCTAATTTCTTATACACCAGCATTATCCATGTGACTACAAAACTTCAGGTAGCAAGCCTTTCCTAAATATCATTTTATAGGACGTAAACAGTAAGCTTTGAAGTATTAATTTAATTAATCCTTTGAGAAGAACTAGATCTACAGAATAAAGTAAACATCTGCTTTCTGTGTGTCTATTGATCTGTTAACATCTTTGCTTTTAAAAGCAATCTCTATTTGTAAAACAAAGATTAAGATTTTGAAAAGATTTATTTATTTTTATTTCATGTGTACGAATGTTAGCCTGTGGGTATGTATGCCTGTATGTATATATGTATTTATGTATATTGAATATATGTCAGCTTCTCATAGAGAACAGAAGAGGGTGTTAGATTCCCAGGAACTTGAGTTATACATGGTTATGAGCCACCTGATATGGGTGCTAGGAACTGAACACAGGTACTCTGTAAGAACAGCAATGGATTTTTACTATAGACACATTCTCCAGCTTCCAAAGGATTTGTTTTGAAAATTGTTTTCTTATTAATCATTTTTGTTATTTTTATTGAGAGAGAGAGGGAGGAAGGGAGGGAAGGAGATATATAAGATTATATATTGTACATATACATATGAGAGAGAGACGGGGGAGAGAGGGGGAGGGAGAGGGAAGGAGATATATAAGATTATATATTGTACATATACATATGAGAGAGAGACAGGGGGAGAGAGGGGAGGGAGAGGGAAGGAGATATATAAGATTATATATTGGAGACAGAGTGAGGGAATATATGGATATATATAGTAGTACATATAAGCATATGAGAGACTGGACTTCTGTAAAAAAACAAACAAGCCTGCTTTGCTTTGCACAGCATAAACCCACCTGTCTTTTTTTAAAAAGACATACTAGCATATGGGAGCAAGGGGCTAGCTGAAAAACTCATCTCCAGTACTTGGAAGTAATTTACTCTGTAGCTAATTTGTGTCTCCATTACCAAGTATTTTCCCCTCAATTTCAAATCTGTTCATAATGGCTTGTTGGCCTCCTGGAGTTTTTGTTACTTAATTACTGCATGTTGGGAAATGCATGAAATTAATCTGGACAGTGTTTTACTTCAGTCTACGTGCAGAGGCTTTGAGGGATTCATTGACTACGACAAGCTTTGCTTTGATGTTCATTCAGTTCTTTTATGTCCGTTTACTCTGGAGGAAAAGAAAGGCTGAGGTGAATGGTGACTTCCTGGCATATTGGCTTGCCCAGGTGGAAAGTTTTGCTGCTGCATTCAGCAAAACTTTCCAAGCTGAACTAAAGCCATATTTCCTCAAGTTAAGATGCCAAAAGATAAATTTAGCAATACTCTTGAGATGTGAGCTAGAGCGATGGCTGAGCAGTTCACAGCACTTACTGTTCTCTCAGATGGCCAGGGTTTTTTTTCTCAGCACTCATATCAGGTGGATCACAAATGCTTGTGACTCCAGCTCCAGGAGATATGACATGCACTGGCATCCACCTGTACCTGTATGCACAAGATACACAGAAACTCATGAAAGTGCACGTCCAAGCACTTTCACACACACACACACACACACACACACACACACACACACACAGAGAGAGAGAGAGAGAGAGAGAGAGAGAGAGAGACATGTATCTTAAAGAAATACTCCAAAGAAATATTTATGTTTCTAAACTATGTTCCTCAATAATTTCTTTTAATTTCACAGCATTTAAGTTTTAATGGACTTGAAATGTCTTTTTCTTTTAGCCCATTTAAGAAATAGTGCAGGTGAAACTGGTTAATTGATGACCTTCAGTAGATCATTTGAGTTTCAGAGTACTTTATGTTCTTCTTGCACACCAGCAGAATTCACATATGGCATAATATTGTCATAACTGAGAAGGTACTGGTTACTCCCACTATCCAAAGTGTATTAAAGTTAATTGAAGTTTTGGTGTGTTTATGTCTTTTTTCTTTTGCAGAGATAATTAATTAGATGAATCCTTCTTGTGTTTAGACCATTATGATCCTCTAGACTTATACACAGGGCAATTAGTCATCTGCGCTGCCTTAGAGGCCTTCATTCTTACTCTCCTTCTAAAAAGAATGGACTCACTTAGATTTTTGCAGGCCAAGAAACTTATTTCATATACAGAAATGATTTCTTTATATTATGCAAGCTTTTACTTCTCCTAGAGTCCATTGAGTCCTATCCTTTTATTTTACTTTAAATATTTCCATAATTCTCTCCTTTATAATTGTAAATTATGAAGAGTTTAAATAAGACACAATCTGACAGTGAATTATATTTTTCTGTCACATCCTTCAGTTATAATATTTGTATGAGTTTATTGTTGAGTAGATTTATATCTTCCCCACTGTCTAATTGAATTCATTGTTATTGCTTCTGTCTTCTTGATGTTCTTACCCTTGAGAACACTTCAAAACTATGCGTTGTTCAATAAAAGCTAGCACTTTCTACCTTCATGCTTTTCCTTTTTCATAAAGAGCAAAGGAACTAAATATAAAATTCAATGACACATTGAAGACTATCATACACCATTATAGCATTTATTTATTTTATCTTTCAAGACATTTTCTAGCTCTGTAGTCCAGGTTGGCCTCCAACTTTAGATCCTTATATTGAGAAAGAGATCATGGAAAAAAATCTCATTAACAATAGCTTTAAAAATCTAGGATAAATCTAACTAAGATGGTTAAAATTCTCTACAATGAAAACATTAAGCCTCTGAATGAAAAGACTGAAGAAGACACTAAAAGATAGATAGATGTTCCATGCTAATGGATTGGTGGAATTAATAAAGGAAAAAAACTAACGGGAACAACCATGTTACCAAAAGCAATTTAAAAATTCAGTGTAATCCCAATCAATATCACCATGACATTCTTCAAAGAAACAGGAAAAAATCCTAAAATTCACAAGAAAACACAAAAGAAACCAGAAAGCGAAAGCAATCCTGGGGAAAAAATTTGGGAAGGATTACTATACCAGATTTTAAGATGTTATAGTTATAGTAATGTAACAACATGGAACAAAACAGACATATAAATTAATGGAATAAAATAGAAGACTCAAACATGAGTGCACATAATTTCAGTCATCTGATATTCGACAAAGATGGAGGAAAGACAGTATCTTCAACTGGGATGTCGAAGTACCAGAAAAACTGTGTGTTCACAAGAAATTAAACCCATATCTATCACCTTAGAGACAATTTTACTCTAGGACCCTCATATGAAATCAGAAATGCTGGAACTATTAGGATAAGACCTAAGCAGTACCCTGAAATCAAAGGACTTATGAGTAAGATTCCATTTGCTCAGGAACTGAGCCCACCAATTAACAAATGGGACAGCATTGAAGCAAAAAGCTTATGTACATTGAAGGAAAGTCTCAATGGAGTGAAGAAGATGACCACAGGGTGGGATAGGATATTTTGTAAGTATACATCCAAACAGAGGAATGGTATGTGGAATATAGCAAATAATAACAACAACAACAACAACAAAGAATAAAACAATCCCCAATTTTAAAAGTTGCTATGGAACTGAATGGAGAATTCTCAAAACAAGAAATAATAGTGGCTGAGAAATAAAGTGTTCGACATCTTTAGCAATCAAGAGGGGGGAGGTGTAGATTAAAACTACTTTGAGATTTCATCTTCCACTAGTCAGAATGGCTGAGATCAAGGAAACAACTGACAACAAATACTGGCAATGATACAGGGAAGGAGCAAGTCTCAGTAATTGTTGATGGTACTGCAAACTGGTTTGCCACTCTGGAAATGGGAGTAGAGAACTGTCAAAACTAAAAGCACATGACCCATTCCTTGACATGTACCCACAGGAATCAATACACTATTCTACAGATATTTGCTCACCCATATTTATTTTTGCTTTATTCACAGTAGCTAGGAAATGGAAAAAACCTAAGTGTTCTTAAACTGATAAAAATTCAGTACATATATACAATGGGATACTATTCATAAGTAATGCAGAATGAAATAATGAGAGAGAGAGAGAGGAAGGAGAGATAAATGACAGTAAGTATGTTTAAAAAGCCATAGGGAAACATTATTTTATGATTTTTTTGGTTATTTGAGCCAGGGCTTCTCTGTGGCTTTGTAGGCTGTCCTGGAACTAGCTCTTGTAGACCAGGCTGGTCTCGAACTCACAGAGATTCACCTGCCTCTGCCTACCGAGTGCTGTAATTAAAGGGATGTGCTACTACTGTCTGGTTATTATTTCATAATTTTACTTAAAATACATATATAAAAATAAATATGTAATATATACATAGTTTAAATGGAGTTACACCACTCAGAGTGTTCCAAGAGTCTTAGACTATTTATCCAAAAGCCACAGAGTTAGACATGCAGAAATTTCATTAAATTGTTGGTCAGGAGGGCTCCTTAAACAACATAGTCTACTGCCAGTATACTTTGTTGACTGCCAGAACATGAAGACAAAATTCAATTGCTGAAGATACCACACATTTTGTGTTGGGCCCAAGTTGCAAAGTCTCCGAGACCACCAGGAAGACAGACCCACTAAACTGCAAAAGCAAGGTTTAATGATTGTTCATCCAACCATGACAGTGAAGTGACCCCATCTGATTGGCTGTCGTGGCAGCCTCCAGAGGGAGTGAAGTTCCCTGTCTACTGCTAGGTTTTATAGACAAAAGTTACAGGAATACATCAGTAGGTATGGGTTGTTTTCTGATTGGTTGACATTTGGGAACATTTAGGAGAATTTCTCAAAGTCATATATTGGCATGAAATACCTGTGTACCAATTATTTTCATTGGTCAGTGCTGAGAGGGAACATTCTGTGGTTTCTTTGGCATTGTCTTGTTACTTGCAGGTGGCCTGTTGCACATAGATAACAATAGTTTCCAGAACTTTATCCTGGAGACTACAGGGCAGGTTTTGGTACCCCCTGGAGTTTCTTTTATTGGTTCCCAGAAACCAAGCATCTAGGAGGCTGGGGGGGAGGGGCAGGGAGATTTGGAGTTTCTTTGTGTTCAGTTTTGACCCTAGACTCCAGGAGACCAGAGGATCTGAAGTTTCCTTGTGTCAGAGGCCTATGTGTCTTTTCTGTAGCCTGTCTTGGTTATTGAAGCAGAGGGTTGAGTGAGGGTTTGGTCCCTTCATTTCTAAATTATTAGAAGTGAGGCCCTTGAGTTTAGTTATGCCTTTCACTTTGGTCACAGGCTCTAGAGGAATCGAGCTGGAGGCTTACTCCATGAAGGCTAGCTCTCATAATATTAGAAGCAGCTATGCAAGAAAATGCCATGGGAGAAAAACAATCAGTAGTCCTACTCAGCTTGACAAGATATCCCAAATGTTGCAGTATAGGGGCTTTTATCTTGGGGTTAATCAACAGCTGTCCAGTTGGATTTAAGGCCCTCTCAGTAAGAGGAAAGTCAAGATTAGTACTATTAGTCTACTACTCAGGGCTTGCAAGATCAGAGACTCTAGAGGAAAATCTACTACTAACATTTCTTAAATGAGCATAAGTTAAAACTGTATTCCAAGTATTTACTCTTATATGCAGAGAATAAGTGTGGCTTTCACCTCTCATCATAAAAACTGTTTTCTGCAGTGGATGGAGACCATTGCAGAGATGCAAAACTGGTCAAGTGCTAAGACTGTGTAACTGTGGGTAACAAACCCCAACTGGTAGGTCTACAGCAACCCCTACACCCAAGGATCAGGGGGATATCTTGCTCACCTTTCTTACATAGCTCAGGCCCGCCATCCCAGGAATGTCATAATCCACAGTAGACTGACTGAGCCTTTCTACATCAATTCAAGATGCAGAGGAATACCATACACAGGATAGGGATGTCCTATGCTAATTTTGTTAGGGAGAAATCACATACATGAGAAGCTGAGAACCAAGGTCAGTGCTTTTCTGCTCTTTAACCTCGACCAGAACCCCAAGAGAGAAAGTGACCCCTCTTTCCTTGACCTTTATCTCTGCCTTCCTCCACGTACCTTGACCATGCCCAAACGTGTGTGGTCAGTGCTAGCCAGTACTTGAGATCTCTACTTACAAATTCACAATCAATAAAATCAGGCTCCAAAGCAATACAGAGCAACCCTGTCTCGAAAAAAGAAAAAAATTCATTGGGTAATCTCAGAGGCCAATCTGATGGAGGCAGTACCTCAGTTGAGGCTCCTGATTTCCAGTTGTGTCAAGTTAACAATTCGTTTAATCCACAAACCAGGTTTTGAACTCCAGTCACCTTAATGCTTTCTCTGAGATATTAATTTGATTTCTAGGGTTAGTGGATTAGGGTGATTGAGTGAGACATCAGAATTGTCTCCACCACGTTTGTCTGACAAAGTTGTCATCTGAAATCAGTGGAAAAACTACAAAATATTCAACAAACAGTTTTGAATAAATTATTCATAAGGAAACAAATTAGGCTATGTTTTGACTATATGATACCCACAAAAAATAAATCATGTGTGTAATAATCAACTTCAATCAAAAACATAAGTAATGAGAATGATTGTCGGAAAAATATGACTATGTTTATGACTTCAGACATAAATACATAAGGCACAGAATGGCCATAGGAAAATGGTTGACAAATCTGATGTCAAAGTAATCAACTTCTTTGTGATGAAGGCATTATGAATAACTGACCTTGTAAAATGACCCTAGAAATATATTCCATCTCTTATCTCATGCACAGCTACAGTAGGAAGGAAGATGGGCTAGGAAGCAGGGCTTAATCAGAATTCAGTCTGCTGGGACCATGATCTTTGCTAATTTACATTATATCCTTGAGAGAAACATATTTTCATGGTTCATAAACCTCTTGGCCTATGGTATGCTTGAATAGGTTAAGCCAAGGTAAAGAGAAAAAATGTTAAAAATAAATGTTAAAAAATAAGTACTATGAGTTTGGCACATAGATAATAGATAATAGTTGTTACCTCTTGTGGAGGAGAGCAATTTATTTTATGTACAGCATCATAATACGTGGTTTTCAGAGATAACATATTCACTGATTACTTTCTGCATACTCTCTATCATTTTCTGTATTTGTATACAGAGTAAATAATGTACTTATGCTATGTGTCAATTAATGGATCACCAGTTAATTCCTTAGTTCAATAGTTCTTTATGTATGTCCTTAACATTCAGGAGCTTTTCCATAAGATGTATTTCAAGAATGGATGTTCTGGATTACAGTATGCATTCACATTTAATTTTCAAAGATGTGGTCAATTGCCTTCCAAAATGTCAGAAACAATTTATATCCTAAGAATCAGTGTATGTCTATTCTAATTTTCTACATTACTCCTGGCCAACAATAGATAACTTACTTAAAATAAAAAAATATGGCAGGTTCATAGGAACATGGAAAAGCATCACTTATAGGACAATAAAGCATAACAGTAATTCAACACAAAATTATGCTTGTTCTCTTTGCAATTGTGAAAATACTAAATATGACAAGAGTTGGGATGGGAGGGAGGTCTTCCTCAGCCATCTGTTCAGCTAAATTAAAAAAATGTACTTTAGGATTTAGATAAAGCATGACAATATGTTTTGCTATCCAGTCTACTGAGACAAACATCTTCTAGGTTTCTGAAATTAGAAAAAACTATTCCTAACTCAATGTAATAGAGAAATGGTCCATGGATCCTGTACAGAGATGAATAAATGTCAATTAACACCACAAGTAAACTACAGCCAAGCTCTGTCAGCTGACCATAGCCAGGAGAGCTTCCATAATCTTCCTGTTTCAATTACATATGTGGAAGCAGAAACCTGTCCCTGTGTTCAACAAGACCTGACACATCTAAGAGTTGGAAAAATCAAGTAAACAAAAATTGAATTGAACAGGAGAAATGGAAACCATGTACTAGCATGTAAGACTTAGCAGATGTTATGCACTGGTTATGTTATTGCACTGGGCATAACCAGTAGTGTTGAGAAGTAATGGCCATGGAAGTTCTTTCATGGATGAATAAATGTTGCATCACAATATATAGTTGGTTGCCATGGAAATGGGTACCAGATTTTTTTAAAAAAGATAAACTAAACTTCCTTTCTCTTGATATTTTTTTATTTTATTTTCCAGTTTAAATTTAGATAAGAAACAAGGTTGCTTCGCAAATCAGTTCCAGGTCCCTCTCCCTTTCCCTCCCCTCCTCCCGTGCCCTCCCCCCCCCCCGTTATCCCTTCATTCCCCTAGCGAGGGTGAGGCCCTCCATGGGGATGTCCATAGTCTGTCATTTCATATAGGGCAGGGCCTAGACCCTTCCCCAAGAGTTCAGCGTGAGAGTGCACCTTACATTGTTCTATGGGCGTCCAAACTCCGTGTGTATACTTGGGATGGGTACTGATCTGCTGCCCAAGGCTCAATAGATTACCTAGGCCTCCTCACTGACACCCAGATTCAGGGAGTCTTGATCAGTCCCATGCTGGATTCCCAGGCTGATGCCTGGGATTCAAGAGTTAACCTTTGTCTGGTCAGCTGTTTCCGGAGGTTAAACCAGCCCAGTCTTAATCCCTTTGATCATCAGTCCTCCCTCTCTGTTACTGGCTTTCTTGAGTTCAGCTCAGTACTTAACCAAGGGAGTCTGCCTCTTCTTAGAAACTTCTCTTGATTTTTTTTTGTGCTCACTTAGCCCTTCTGTTTTTCATCATGAAAAGCACAGCAATGAAACTCATCAGATGTGTGTGCCTTGGATTTCTTTATCAGCTATACAGTTTGGGTATTCCATTATAGTAAACACTGAGTAAGTCAGTGCTGTATGTAGAGTATTGTCAAGTTAGGTCAAAATAGCAGTATCACATTGATAAAACAAGGGACTGAGAACTTAAAGTAATTTTTGTTTGTTTTTATTTTTTAGGAGTAGGAGAGAGGGAGTCCCAGGCAAGTTTACAGAGCTCATTCTTATAACCAATGTAGGCAATCAAAGGAGGATGCACACACACACACACACACACACACACACACACACACACACACACACACACACACGCACATGTGCACGACCTTGGAAAGTCCTAGATAAATGCAGAAAAGTTCAGAACAGCCAAGGGAGTTTTGAGAGTGGATTTTAATTTAAAAGGAATGTTCTCAGGTTTTGCTACATTAGATTAGACCTTCCAAAACTATCTGGGATCTTTTGCTTGGAAGTATGGCCTCGAGATGAGAAATAGCAATGAGTTCAAACAGGAAGAAGGAAGCCTTCTTGTTCATTCATGAGTTGTATAAAAGAAAAGAAAAGCCAACATAATTGTATTGTTATGCTGGCATTACAAAGCACCATAAAGGCAATGAGGTCTTATTAATTTATAAGTTAAGAAACTATGCAACATATAGTATCTCAAGATCCTATATCTATTTAGCAACTTAGGTTATACTGAATGAATGAAACAGACAAGGTTTGACCTCAAGATATCCTTTATCAAGAAGTGAGCAGTGTTGGTTTTTATTGTTGTGTTTGGAGAGATGGTTAAGAAAAGTGACACAATTTTCTTCAGTTTTATCCTATTTTAATAAAGTTTGTGGCATAGAGCATTCATTGAGTAATGAAAACATTGACATTTAAAATATCAGTATAACATTGTAAATGCAAGCATAACATTGTAACGTATTTGTGAATTGCAGAGTATGTGGAATCACACTGAAGGAGGAGCCAGAGTTCTATGAGAAGATCATTTCCGGTTTGAGCCTGTGAGATATGTGTGGGTTCTAGAAAATTTTAGTAGAGAAAATACAAATTCCAGATGATTCCTTTCTTTATCAATATCCTCATCCAAGTAGCACTCATAGGATGTAGTAGCTACTATGTACCCCCAAAGATCCCTGATAAATATGAAAATCTTGCTATGCTAAGAGTTTCTTTCATATCAGCATAGGTGTCTCATAAATCTTCAGCCATAGACAATGAAGCTGTGGCTCATTTGGTGGTTTATAATACATGATTCATGTGATAGTATCATAAAACAATTTTGTGCAATAGCACTGCAACCAAGATTACATAAAACTATTTGTTTACATATCTTTGTGCAAATGTGTCTTCAGAATGAGATCTTTTATTTTATTTCTTTGGAATAAATTATTTTTTCTTATTAGAGGTGTATTTATTTATTTAATGTATAGAAGTGCTCTATCTGCATGTATGTTTTTATGCCAGAAGAGGGCATCAAGTCCCATTATAGATGGTTGTGAACAACTGTGTGTTTACTTTGAATTGAACTCAGACCTCCTGGAAAAGTAGCCAGTGGTCTTAACCCCTGAGCTGTTTCTCCAGCTCCTGGAATAGATTCTTAAGACTTGAAATGTTATGTAAAATGATTGAAGTGTTTGTAATTTTAGTGGAGGTTTATATAGATAGGAATTCATATTTTGGTAGACTTATAATGGCTCTTTTCAACTATGCCAATCCAACAGTTGTGGAGTGACATCTTAGTGCCCCAGTGTTTGAAATTCCTAGTCATGAATATGATAAATGCTATCAGATTCTTATTCTGAAGATTGAGGATGTAATTTATTAATCTATTATCTGCTTTGTTATATATGACTGAGGAATAAATTGAACCAGTTTCTTTAGTACATGTTATTACTTTAAGCAATAAGTTCCATGCAGATTACTGACAACTAGATTAGAGTTCACCTCTTTGTCACAAATAAAAATCCACCCTTCCATCTGAAAAAAAGAGTGACATGCTTAGAGAAAAGAAAGGGAGCTAGGATGAGGTGAGAAATCTGTTATTTCAGAATGAAAATGCATATAGCTTCTTTGATAGTTCTTCAGCAATAGAAAACAGAAATAGAGCCTCATCCTGGATAAGGTCATAGGGATGCCATTTAGAGGTTTTAAATAACTCCAAAGTGTAGTGCCACATAGCAGACTCCTGAAAGCAGAGCAAGCCCATAGGGTTCTCACTATGTGGTATCAAAGCACAGAGAGTTTCATCTCATATGTAATTCAGCGGGAGTTGAGTATCAGCTCTGTGAGGATCTCCCACTGTGAGTTCTCAGTGAATTCCTTCAGAAGCACTTCAGCAAAGGGTCCTGTGTTTTCCTGCCAATCATTCAACCTTTCTGGCATGAATATACTTATCAAGGTAGGTAGAATGCACAGAGCCAAAGAAATGAAGCTCTTGTACTTAAGGAAGATATTGAACTTCATACATTCATTAATTCATTTATGAATATTACACATGTACATAATGCATACCGACCTATCTCACACTCTCCCTGGTAGAACTCCCCTCTTTTTTAGTTCCCATGCTCTTCACAAGTCTCTCTCTAGGATTTCTATCTAGTCAATTTATTTTGTGACTTATGGAGATCAACCAGGACAATCTGTGTGACCACAGGTTTGGATCTATCCACTGGAGCCTGGTAGGATTTCAGTGGGAACACAATTATAGACAGTAATTCCCTTGCTCACAGAATAGTATAGAGGTAAGAGGTAGGGCCCCATGAGTCACCCTCCCCCTTCCTTGACTGATTGTTGATAGGGCTGGTTTTGTATGGACCCAGTGCAGGTAATGACAGTTGTTGGTGTGAGTATTGGATTTAAAGAATGTCATTTTTAGTTCTTCACCTAACATTTATCAATGCTTCTTCTGCAATGTTCACTGAGTCTTAGAGGAGGGGTGGTAAGCATCTTGTTTATGGATGGTCTCACAAACCTTTCTTATTTTCACATCTTGGGCAGCCTTGAGCCTCTGTAATCACCATTGTTCATTGTAAGAAAAAGGCTTCCTGGATGCAAGTATCCTTTGTCTGTGGCCATAAGTATAGATTGAGAAGACAGTTTACTTCAATGCAAATTAAGTTAAACATCAGTGCTAAATTCCTGCCTGGTCCTATGGCCTTCTCAGATGAGAACATAATATACACTTCCTGTTATTTGGCTAAGAGAAGGGCAATTCTGACCACCTGGAAGTCCTGATACCTTTGCAGGCCAGGGACCCTGAATCTTCCTGTTCCAACTCGAGTTTGTCACAATGAAGACAAGCAAATACACTCAACTAACCTCTAAAGGATTGTAGTGAGGTCTTTGAGAAGCAAGAAGCAGAGATGAGAAAGAGAGAAAGAAATTTGTGTGTGTGTGTGTGTGTGTGTGTGTGTTCTCTAGATGCTAGAGAAAGGGATGTCATGTGTAAAATCTAGAGTCTAGCACAAAAGATGTGGCATAGTTAAGGGTGTGAGCTTTGCTTGTCAGAAAAGGTCATCCTGATCTAGAACATCGGTGCATGTGTGCTTTTAGAAGTACAAATGTAGGCTGCAACCCAAATAAGGGAACTGTTTTGTAAATTCCTCTTACTTAGTGAGAATCAGAGTCAGCTAATAATGAGGGTGTTTCATAATAGCCAGGCCCTCCCAAGCCAGGCATAAACACAACAGCACTCGGTGCTCACCCAAGTCCATCCCTGCAATGTCTCACTGCATTTGGAAGGGCTCTGGCATCCCTGTAGAGTGGCCAGGTGCACTGGATTGGGGGAGAACACTGCAACAGTGTTCTCTTTGTTCACTACTTTTGCGTTTCCCCGGCACAGCATCAGTGTCTCAGGAAGTCCTTCTCAAGAAGTTATTTCCAGCCTGCAGCTAGCAGTTTATTCCAAACATCTGAATGAGCTGAAGAGCTGCCCATGGTCTGAAGTTGCTTGTCCTGGCAGACACATGTTTGATTGCTTCTTACTTTCCACATAATCTGTCTCTGCTACACAAAACTGAAACGTCTCTCACCATTGTGTGGTTTTTCCCTAAGACGGTAAAATAATGAATTTACTAGGAAGCACATCTTATAATACTCCTCCAAACTCCCATGTTTGTTTTTCCTGCCATGGCAATGTTATTTTCACTTGTGTTGTCATTAGGAATTGTTTTTATTTCCTGCATAACACTTGGCATCAGTTTCAGCTTTACTGTTTGAAATCTCTTAGAATTTGAAGCAAACCGCACTTGAAACTGACTTTGGCAAGCATGCATCTCACACAGACAGGGCTCTTGTTTTCCTTGAAAAGTGTCTAGGGGACTAGTGATGAGGTGATGCTCTCTCTGGGCAGCACAAAACCCTCTGGATAGGTGTGAGGTATGCTCAAAGACAGTCTGAATGCCAGGCTTTTCAAAACTGAAGGAAGTGAGGCAAGCTAAAGAGGTTTGCTAAAAGCCAATTATTGAGTTGGACGATGGTGGAGTGTGAATTTAGTTCCAGCACTCCAGAGGCAGTTGGATCTCTCTGAGTTCGAGGCCAGTATGGTCTATGAAGCTACACAGAGAAACTCTGTCTCAAAAAAACAAACCAAAACAAACAAACAAAAACCCAAACCAAACAAACAAACATCCCAATTATTGTCTCTTAGCAGTTCACCAAACAAAGCATGTAGTACTCATCTTTTGGAGGGTATGTTTAGGTAATTTCTTGCATATCTGAGGTAGAATAGTACAGTAATTTCTTTAGTAACATTCCAAGAGTTTTATTGAGAGTTTTTATAGCTTTATACTTGTAGATAAACATTATCAAATGTGTTGATTTTGATAATTTTATTTAAATCATCTGTATATATTTCTTTTCTTGTTCTCCTCCTCCTCCTCCTCCTTATTATTATTATAGCAATTAACACAGACATTTATTGGAGGGTGAGGAAACATACACATGCAACAGATACATAGAGAAAAAGACCCTATGTGATTAGGAGTGGAAGACTTGGGAAACTGAGAAATCCAGTCTCTTGTCTTCCAAGCCTATTCATTAGTAATTACTGCTGGCTACACATGGTCAGAACAGACATACTGGGGTTTCAAGCCTCTGAAGAGTCTCTCTCCTCTATTTTAGGTTTGATCAGTTTGAAGACAGGTAGGATGGTCATTTGGTCATGTAAATATGCCATGTGTAACATGTCCTGATCAGGTTTTGATCTTGTGGAGCCAGTCCTTAAGCAGAGTGCCTCACAGCTTTTGTCTCAAGTTAAGAGGTTGAGGAAGAAGCTGTCCATCTGGGGAATTTGCCACCTTTACTTCCTAGCATGACCCCTCTCCCTATCTGTCTATCTACCAGAAAGTCTCCTGATTCATGCATTTTTCCTTCTCCAGCTATGACAGCTCAGCATCGATATCCAACTGAGTCATTGAAAATGAAAAATCCTTTTATAGGGGCTTCAGGCCACAATTAGGGTACCTCAGGTTCCTGTGGAGTACTTCTGAAGGACACTACACTTCAGAATCCCTTAATATTTCCCATATCCTGAGCTTTTCTTCCTCTAAAACTATTTGAAGTACCCACGGGCTTTTATTTAGACTAAACAATGCTACCACTTTGTCCCATCACTGATTTAACTGAAGTTTCCTTCTATCCATGGACCTTTCTCATCTTTCTTGGTTTTGAAATGACATGCTTTTCATTATTCTAGACTCACTAACATCAGCTTCGGGAGAAAGAAGGTCATGACTCTAGGCTTCCTATCATAACCCCCGAACTCTCATTTTCCACTTTTCTAAAACGAAACAGCAGCAAGAAAAACCCACTCTGCTCCTTGATAAATCTTCCTCCATGTGACAACTATTGACTTTCACTTCCTGTTGGCTTGGCTAATTGTTAGATGCACTTTGGCTTCTTGCTCACAAATGCCTCTCTATCCTGAATCACACCACTGTACTGAGCAACTTTAGAGCTCATAGGATTTTCTATCCAGCAAAAATTCTGTGAGTTCCTTAAAGTAAGAGGCTTATGTTGCCTTTACACATCAGCTGTATCTCCCCTCAACTACATTACAGACACAGAACTCTGTATAGTGATTGCTTTATCATGGGTTAAGTACTTACTTTGTGCCAAGACACCAAGTTATAGCTTTAGATTTATTGTATCATTTAATTATGAAATCAACTTTATGAAGTAGATTCTACTATAGTCTCCATTTTAATGAGAAGGAAACTCAGGTTTGAAGGGTTGAGAGATTGCCTAAGCTCAAAAGAAAAGAGTGGTAGAACTGAATCAAAATATAATGAAGTCTGCTCTAAGTTCAAGGGTTCAGCCAGCATAGCATGCTCAGCACATTCTCAGTGTTCTC